GGAGCCAGCCTCATGTGGCTGTTAGAGAAACTGCAGTTTTTACAGTTTCTGGATTGGCTTCATTTTTCAGCCCCAGAGGTTATAGCTTGAGAATACCACTGCTGACATTAATGTTTTGCTGTAGTTCCTGTGACACCTGTTCACTAACCACCTTTTTACAAGATGTGGATAGTAATCTTTCAAAACTAAACATTTAAGCATGTTTGCTGATCCTTATTCATGGCTATTATTTTGTGGAACGCAATTCCATTTGTTAATAGAAGTTTATGTACTTAAATTTAAATGATTTAGCTTTTAACCAAGATGTGATACCCTCAAACCAAGGGTATCACACCTGCCAATGATTTCACCCCCCAGCATCGCTGTGTTTGCTTTCCTGTTTCAGATGTGACGAACAGAGAAGAAGCCCCAGTTCCCCCCAGTGTTCCCCCTCCCGTGGACCCTACACCTCCCCCTGCAAGCTTTAGCACCAACACACACCTCCCGTCTGCTGACTCTGCACAGGTTAAACACACACAAGCATCGGAAATGGGAGGGGTCTGTTACCATCACACCAATAGAATATTAGTTAGAAGGGGAAGTGTTTGGTTAGATGGGAGGGGTAGTATTGGTTACTTAATTATAAATGATCCTAAATTACATGTATTACTTTAAAATCTTCCTGATATGTTTGTGCAAAATGTTTGAGGGTTGCTGCTAATTTTAAAGAAAGCAAACACATCAAAGGAACACAGTAAAATTCTTATTATATTATCACTTTGGACAGGTGAAAGCACAAAACTGCATGTGAGGTGTTCAGGTGGAGGTAGATCTTGTTTAGAATCAGCTGATCTTTATTGTTGTGTGTCTTTGTGTTTTCAGATGCAACAGCCTGTTGTCAGTTTGTCTGAACACACTCACTCTGGGGCTTCTACAAGCATTACTACTGTTACTACTTCTACTTCTGCTACTGTATGGTCAGTATCAGATAATTGTGCTGTTACCATAACATTTAAAATTAAAATTGGCTTTTTAACATCTAATATATACGGAGGTTATTGAGTTTCAGTGACAATAATTCAACAGCAGAAATGTGAGTGAATAAGTCTTTGTAGAAGTCTCACTATTCAACGACAGCAGTCTTGTCAATCTTGGTTTTTTCTGTTGATATTTGGATGTTCCTGTGTAAATGAGTTGGGATAGAAGCAAAGCTTTACATTAAAAAACAAACCAACAAAAATGTGCATCTATATATTCATTCACCAGTCAGGCCTGATTAAAAAAATAAACTGAGAGGAAATAAGGCAATCCTCCAGTCTTACTTCTATGGTGCTTGAGATGATGTTATTGGCTCAGTCCAGGGTGAGTGTCTCTGGCTCCTCCAATCAGAGCCCTGGACAAAATGCCACGCTAATTACACATACAATAAGAAAACGTAAAAAGCACACTTACCAAAATTTTTCTATGATGATAATTACTTGAAATATGATTAGAGATATGTGGTTTTAAAGTACTTTGAGTTCTCAAGGAGAGTAGAACCAATCAATTCACCATTTAGATAGACCTGCCAACACACTCCTGAAGCCGTTGGGAATTGGGGATTGTAAATATGCTCCCTGAATGCATATATCAGCAACAGCACAGTATTAAACAGGTTTGTGACCCGTGACTTGTGGGTAAGGGGCATAACCATCATCCTCTTTTTGGTGATAAGAGTGTTTTCAGTGAGCTTGTATTTATCTGACAGTTAACACATAAGCAGGATGAGCTAAACTAAGCTGTGATAACAGTATTTATGAGCTGACATTTTTATCTTATATTAAACAAAAGCAATAAAAAAACACATCTGTCTCTCCTCTCTCCCCCCTCCAGTTGTGTCTGCTCCTCTTCCTCATCCAGACCCGTTGAGGCCAGTTGCTCCTCGTGCAGTGCTGCCTGGTGTCCTCTGCTTCCTTCTCACCTGCTTTCCCTTTCCTCCTCCAACAAGGACTTCATCACCCAGCTTACGCAGCATCTCAGCTTCACCCTGAGGCAGCAGAAGTTGAAGAAGGAGGGGGAAGAGAAGGAGCAGGAGAGGGAGGAAGAAAAGAGCTCTGAATCCAGAGAGGTTCAGTCTCATGTAGAGGGCACTGAAGTGGGCAGCCCCAGGTATTTAAACCAGATATATTCTGTTACTGAATTTGAGGATTCCAGAGATTCCCACTGAATCTGCAGAGTCAAAAGGTTTCTGAGATTCTAAAATTTCTTTACTGTGTGTGAAATCCTCTATAATTCATCAGATCAATGTTATATTCCAGCTGTTTTTAAAGCTATTAGAGAAATGATCCTTTGGATGCATATTTATAACAACAGACAGATCATTTTAGATAATCAACTTATAAACACGGAAGAAATTCGTAACTTAAAAGACCTGAAGATGATTTTTAGCTCATTCTGTGTTTATTACTCCAGTCCAGGGTCCACTGATGGCTACTTTGAGATGAGTCTGGATGACTCTGTGGAGGAGCTGGTCGGCCCCTCCTTCATGTCGCTCCCTGCTCCTACTGCAAAGGAGCCTGGTGGCCATCAGGAGGAGCAGAGTGAGGAGAAACAGGAAGAGGTCCAGGTCCGCCGGGTTCTGTGGTGCTACTGTGTTCAGGTGGAGGAGGAGGAGGTGAAGCAGAAGGTGGCATGCCTGGTGCTTGCGGACCAACTGTTGGGCCTGCTGTGCTCATCACATGATTTCACAAGGGCCAATCAGAACATGGGTAAGCACACCGTCTACATGCAGACTGGAGCAAACTTGGAAGCTGTTTTGTCATTTTTATCTCCATCTGACACACAAATTCGATTTAGAAGAAATCTAGTTAACTTCTACAACACTTCTGTTATAAATTAACTGAGACTAACTAGATTTTGATGTCACTGTTGGTTTCCAACCCAATCGGATGAGAAAGACATTAAAAAAAATCTCACAAGGTTTAATTTGCAAATTGTAAACACTAGATGGTTTGGCTTCTTAAATATAAGGATTGTTATTGTTTTGTTTTTTTTTATTATATGGCGTATCTTTATGTGTTAAACCTTTGAGAGAACACTGCAAATGCATGATGTGTAGTCCTGTAATATTGAATAAAATATTAAGATGTGTGTTTTGTTTTCCTGTCTGTAGACCAAGTGGAGGAAGTGCTGTTCAGCCTCCAGGTGGACCTCCTACTCCCGTACTCCCAGCTCTCACTCTCTTCCCAAGCTGAGCTCCCAGACTCCTGTCTTGCCTTTGGACTGCAAGCAAAACCAGCCCGTTGGTTCTACATCTTCTCTGAGGTTGAGGAGCTTCAGCAGATTAGATCTGAGCTCACGGTGCTGCTTCAGGTCAGAGAGCGACACATAAGCAGCCTCAGTTTAATATTCAGATGCAGTCAGTGGTTTTGAATATTTGTATTTGTATTGCATTTTATCCATTTCAGATTCTTTGATTGCATTTTTAAAGATAAAAATAGAGCTGTTAACTTACCATAAGTCATATTTAGAAACAGGAACATGCCTTCTTTCTTCCAGGTTGACCCAGAGCTCTCCAACACTCATCAACTCCTTCCCCGCTCTCTCATCAACTCCTGGGAGCTGGAGGAAAGTCAAGGGGCGCAGGGAGGCTATCCCGTCCTCTTCATGCCCTCCTCTTCGTCATCTGTCCTCAACACTAATCCCCTCCTTTCAGACATCTTATCTGAGGAGCCCAGCTTTCCCTCTCTGTTCTTCCTCACCCACCGACAACTGTGGGTGCTGAAGATGGACTTCAGAGAGCTGTCAGAAATAGAGAAGCCCAATGCTGGCCTTCGTCGTCTCTCCTCCTCCTTTTGTAGGCTAGTCCGTGTACCCCTCGGCTCTGTGGTGCTTCACCCCAGAGAGAGAGATGCTCAGGTGGGGGACAAAGTCAGCAATGCATCCTGCTCGGACCCACAACATCCCCAGAGGTAAAGATGGTGTGAGTGGATGGTGTAACTCTAGACTTGAACTCTGACATGTATGTTAATGTTCTAAATAGATAATTTCATTAGTTTATATAAAATTGTTAGAACAAAGCAAAGAAATCTGAATATATTTCAGCACCTGAGGAAAAAAAAGATGATGTGAAGTTCAGGGACAAGAAAAAGCTGTTGGTCAAATTTGGTATAAATAAAAATAAACAGCAATAAACAAAACATTTTTTTCCTTGATTTTCTTTCTTTAAATCTGTGTTAATCTCTTTTTTTCCATCGTCGTATTGTGTTCACTAGGAGGAGTCACACTGTGGAGCTGCTGCTGGGTGATCACAGGCTGCTGGTGTGCTTTCCTGTGGTCCAGAACAAGAGCTCCTTTCTGGGGTTGCTGAGCCAACGAAGGTCTGCTCTGGAGGGGCTGAAGGTGGTGGCCCTGCCCCAGCCCTCCAGGCTCTGTCCACAGCAAGGTGAGTTCTCACAAGGTGAAGACCAGACTCTATTTTTTTTATTTTGTTTGACCTCTTCTGGTTTATTTTCCAAGTATTACAGCTCTGTTGTTGTGTCCTCAGGTCGTTATAGATCCAGAGACCAGTGCTGTTGTACCAATACCAAGCAGTCACATGGCTCCAGCAGGTACAGCCTTTAAATATTAGCATAAAGCCTAGAGTAATAAAATTGTATTAAAGCGGAAAGTCTGCATTTCAACCACACCTTGATGTGGTTGACAGAGGAAAACCACAAAGAGCTGTGTCATTGTCCAGATATTTATGGACTGAAATGTTTTTCTTTTTGTCTTTTCCTTTTCTTTCACAGCTGGGACTCTTCCCGTCTTCACATGGAGGAGAACCAACCCTCTCCCCACCTCATTCCTGGTCTGTCACCGGGTCTGAAGCTCATGGCTGGACTGGGAGAGCAGCAGCTGCTCACCTACTTCCACAGATATATAGCACAGGTAAGAAACCCTTTTTTGAAGCATATGCATTACAAGAAATCACTCTCTGAGTGATCACTTCACTTGTAAACAGAGCTCAAATCAGAACACAGTAATTTTCTAATAACTCTAATAACTACTGTTTGTAGTGATTGTGTTAGATAAATAAACTTTAGGACAGGTCTTAAATCTTTATTCTATATTCTATGAATCATTTTTAAAATATATATATATCACTTATATCAGTCTGAGGCGGAGGAGGTGAGACAGGTGCTGTGGCTGTCTGTGATTCTCTACAAATCTCCTGAGACTGAACTCACCTGCTGTCTGCTACTCTCCACTGATTCAATCTACTTCCTGTTGGAGGATTCGGCCACTACACTGGGTCATCATTCAGGTAAAATTTACTCATGTGACTGGCCCCCGGTCAACGGGACGTTTATCCATCACTGTGTCGAGTCATTCCTGAAATTTCTTTTCTGAATTATTGCGCTTTTTGCAATTGTTTGAGTTATAAAATATGTCTCTGAGTGGTGTCCCTGGGATCATTTTTGTTAAATCTCGATTCCTTTTTTCTTTCTGTCTGTTTCTGTCAGTGTTGGACATATCAGACTCTGGAGATCCAGACACATGTCTGTGCTGCTGTATGTCCATCAGACTCTCTGATCTGCTGGCCGTCAACGTTGGGCTGTTTGATCAGTACTTCAGAGTCGTAGGTGGGTGCTTTTACGCCTGTTCTCTCATGACATTCCAACATTATATTTTTATTCTTGGACTCAACTAGATTAGCTTTGCTTTTTTACTCATACTGCGAGTTGTGTGCCTGTCCTATTAGATTTATCTCCTCTTACTGAACGCGCAGCACTTTCTCATAAAATAGAAATTTATTTGTGGTGATAAGGCAGGAGGCGTGTGTGCACGTAAAGCCAGGAAACTGCAATTTTTTTTAAAGGAAAATAATAAATAATACCATTTATTAAAACAAAAAAGAAACTGCCTAAAAATACATTAACACCCACTTTGTTACAAGCAAACCTGAGTCACACATCCAGCAGCTGCACATCAGCTCCACCATCTGGGAGAGCGTCCCAGTGCTTGTTCTGTTTTTGTATGTGTAGGGACACATTCCTATAGTCAACCTGCTGCAGAGTGATTGGGGCCAGCTGGTCAGTGGCGCCCAAACTTTGAAAATGATAGTGATGGGTTTTCCACCTATAAATTGGTGATTTATTACCGGTAGATTAAAATTAAATAATTGTGGGAAAAAAAATGTGTTATGAGTTTCCAGGAATGAACTGCGATTTCACTTGGAAATTCTTGAGTATTTTCTTTTTTTCAAAGAGTGACCTACCATGAGCAAATAGTGGGGGGAAAACAGCAGTTTGAAGCCTGAACTTTTACATTTTGGGCCATATTTAATTTGCACATCCATCTATGTATGTATATTTGTATGACAGAAAGTAAGGAAAGATGTGATGGGCGCCCTTTAAGAGTGAATTGCTTTTAAATAAATAAATAAATAATGTCAGTATGATTTTATTAGCTTTCCATCGATTCTCCCTCCTGTAGGTCACTCAGCAGATCATGTGGTGTGCTGTCTGAGCAGGGACAGCTATGGCACGAGCGTTTTCCTGCAGGAGCTGATGTCAGCTCTCAGTCTGCAGCAGCAGCTTCCTCCTCCAGAGCCATCCGATCAGGACTTCTACTCGCAGTTCACCAACACAAGCACAGGTAACTCGGGCAACGGTGCCATCTGTTGTCCTAGTAAGAGTGAATATATAATATTAAAGTATAAAACCCACATCACGTTAACAGACAGCACTTCCTCTCTGTATGGATCTTGATTTTCTCTGACTTCTTAGACTTTTACATATCATGACACTGTGAAGGGACTTATTCTTGGTTGCTTTATAGATAACATCATAGTTCAATATATTCAGTAAAGATTACTCTTTATTGTACAAAATGAAGAACTCAAGAATGTTGAAAAACATCTATTTAAGTGTTTATTTTTGTAAGGTATTATTTTTGACCAAATATAAAATCTGTACAGACCACCAGTAAGCAATGATCATCGTAACAGATGTAAATTTGTCTCCCCCTGCAGGTAAGATGCAGAACTATGAGCTGGTCCACAGCAGCAAGGTGAAGTTCATTTATCCCAGTGAGGAGGAGATGGGAGATTTGACCTTCATCGTAGCAGAGAGGAAGACTCCAGCAAGCGTGGCATCCTCCTCCCCATGCTCCTTTAACGTCCTGCTGTACCTGCTGGTCTTCCAGGTAAGAACTTCTTCTTAGAGAAACATTGCACACAGGAGCAGAAGCAGGATCTTCTCAGGCCAACTCAGTGTGCACATAATTGCAGCCACAATGAGCTTGTGAATATAAAAGGATCTATAAAAGAGAAGCAACATTGGATGTTCATGTCGATAGAAACGTGACTTCCAGTTAATGTTCACACTCCTCTGTATCTGCTAAATGTGTGAACGGGCTACTGTGGTAATAATGACACTGTGAGCATTTTGGATGACAGTAATTTGGCCTCCAGTAACATTGTGATAAACTCTTAAAGCTGTTTGACTGTTTGGCTGTTGCTGAAAACTGATGTTCTAGATAAAGAATCAAATCCAGTCTTGTTTTTCTGGTTTTACAATTCCTGTTTTCAATTTCTGAGCTTCTTGGTTTTCTCTATTTTTATTATGGTTATTTTCCACCAGGTCCAGATCCCCAGTAGTCCACCCAGCCAAGGCTCTGCACTCTCAGGCACCTCCTCTTCTGATTTAGGCTCTGCCCGGTCTCCAGTTCTCCAGCCCAGGACTCTGATCCTAACCAGCACCGATGTGTTCCTGCTGGATGAAGACTATGTCAGCTATCCACTACCAGACTTCGCTAAAGAACCTCCATCCAGGTGTGAACAAAGAAATAAAACCTTTTCAAACAGCCTGTATACAGGGGTGTTATGATAGAGCAGAATTATGCACGACAACGGCCTTAAAGTGGGGAAGAAAGTCCAACAGGTATTAGAAAATTAAAATCAATTCTGTGTTCTGTGTCGCCCCTAAAATTGGTCTGAGTCACAAGTTGGCCGCAAGAAAAAAAAATTGTTGTTTGTCCTCGTCTGCAACAGAAAAAGAGGAAGAAGAGGAGACAGAGACCAGCTGAGATTGTACTGTGCAGACAGCTTAGTCTGAAATACTGAAGGAAAACACACAGCTCAAGTCTGTGCTCAATGAAGCCAAAGAGGAGAAGCATCAATTCAGAAACTGTCAAGAGGAACAGGAAACTGTAACATACTGGCTCTTTTTGATTGTTTAGGTTTCAGTCCGACAGTTCCTGCTGATCCCGACCCCACATTTTACTGGCCCTTTGTTGTTTTAGTTCTCTTTATTCTCACGTATTCTTTTAAATATGTTTTACAGTCTGCACGCTCCATTTTAAGTTGTAAGTCCACCACCAGCATCACTTTCCTGTTGTGTTCTCCACACCGTGGATAGAAGCCTCTAAGTTTCAGTAACCTCACATGTTTACGATGTGAAAATAGACTATTCCCAGGCTCAGTATACATTGGAAATGCATGTTTAAAGCACTAGTTAATGAGTTGTTTTTTTCCTTAATAGAAATAAGTATAACTGGATGTTACTGACGGTTGCAATCTCTGCAGGGAGCGGTACCAGCTGCGTGAGGCCCGGAGGATCCGCGACCTGGACCGGGTGCTGCTGGGCTACCAGACGTACCCCCAGGCTCTGACTCTCGTGTTTGACGACCTGCCCGGCCCTGACCTCCTCTGCCACCTCACCATGGACCACTTTGCTGTCAGCAGCAATGAAGCTAATCCCAGAGGAGGTGTGGCCAGCAGGGGTGCAGAGGGCGAGGTGCAGTGGTGCATTTTTGTCCCGGGAGCCGACAGCAGAGAGAGGCTGATTTCGCTCCTCGCTCGACAGTGGGAGGTGCTGTGCAGCCGAGAGCTTCCTGTTGAGCTCACGGGCTGATTGGTTGACAGCGATGACAGACAAACAGGTGACTGCTCAGCTGCTGGTTGGTGGGTGGAGTCATCATGTGATTGGGTTCATTTACACATGGACTCAGGGTTTGATTGGTTTAATCTCAGTGTTGGGCCATGGAGTCACTGCAGGAGGGACATCGGGAAGAGAAATCTGATCTGAAGATGAGGAGAGATTTCTTTGTGGAGGATGAACACAAAATTAAATTTCCTCCCTTTTTTGGTTAATAATTGACAGAAACTAATAATAACTGGGGTGGAGTCGTGGGTGAAAATATTGAGACTCACTGCACTAGACGATGAAAGCATTTCTGTGCTTTTTTTTTGGGGGGGGGGGGGTTCTCAGCATTTCGGTTCTTTGAAGATGGAGGAACAGGCCACCGATTGAACACAGTTTGAAGCTTAGTGAGACTTTATCCTGAGCTTAGACTTCTCACTATCAGTACAATTGCGGCCCAGTCAGATGACGGAGGGTGTCGACCCTGGTCAGAACACAAAAAGGGTACATCATAATGGGCAAAAACCAGTGCTGTGACTTTGGTTCTTCCACTTCTTTGATGTTGACCAGTAGAAGCGCAGAATGCCACTAAGCTGTTTATAACTAAACATGATAGTGATGTTATCAGAGTTGTTTGGATTATTTTGGCCTCCTGTAGCGGTACCAGCTGCGTAAGATTGGAGGACCCACGGCCTGAATCTGCTTTGCTCTCAACAGGTGTTTATACAGAAAGAGAGTAGAAGTAGTGACCAGAGACCGTGAAGCATCAGTGAAATTCAGCGACCTGTAGTGATGGGGTGCCAAATAGAAAAGGGTTATCAAGACTAATGGAGAGCTATGTGAAGCAGAGCGGGGGGACAGAGTCACGCACAACACTTTGGTTGCTGTTGTCTGTTTACATTCTTTTCCAGGAAGTTTCTATATGGCGCCGCCTTCCTGATGTTGTGATTTTATGACCCTGCAATCGCCTAATCTGAGACAGTGACCACCGTAATTTGAAAAATCTGAGCCCAGCAGTCATTCTTCTTACAGATTGGTGGGAATCTGGCTCCTTCCCCCTCAGTAGTGTCTGCACATCACTGGATTACAGTGACAGGAGACAGGAGAAGAGGCCCGTGACCTTGTACGAAGCCAAAATCCTGAGATTTTTTTTTTTTGGCACAACTTCTCCTTCTTGTAAAGCATCTAACCATGCATTGTATATTCTTTTTTTAATTTTTTTAATTTTATATTTTTTTTTCTTTTTGGGGGGGTGGGGGGGTGGGGTTGTAGATGTTGCACACACAGACTGGATTTGCACAGCATTGGGCGCTGCAGAGGGTCCACGGGAGCTCCAATACTCCTAATTCAGGATTATGTTCTGGTTCATCTTCTAAGACTCCGTCTTATCCAGATGTCGGATCTGAAGGTGGATCACCTCCATTTGCTGGACATGTTTAGCCTAGCTTAGCACAAATACTGGAAGCAGAGGGAAAAGGCTAGCGTAGCTTTATCAAAACAGGAAAGAAAACATTTAAATAACTCCAAAGTTATTTGATTTACTTGCTTTTATTTACTGGCTTTAAAACCAAAAATAGCTTGTGTGTGTGTGTGTTCCTATTCCTTTGTGTGTTCAGCCTAACTGATGATAAGATCGGGGGGTTTCATTTGAAATAGCACAAACACACAGCTGCTCGGCACAATCTTCTCTCTGAACATTTTATTTCTTGCACATTATAACTGATGAAGCAGTATTACTGAACTGTATAATGAAGCTTTTTAATAATATGATATTAATATAATTGTTGCTTTTGGACAGACGGATGTTTCCCATCCTGAAGCTTATTTTGTAAAAAGACACAAGGGTCCTGATTATTATCATCATGAACTCTGAAATGTAGTATTATCATCGAGTGTTATTTTTAATATATTTTGCTTTGTGTTTTATGTAATTTTGTTTTTCTTACAATACAAATGACACATAGGATGCTCTCCCACCCGTCACCACTGTTGTTTAACATTATTGGGCATTGTAAACGGGAAATACCACTGAATTAAAATGAAACTGAAAGCTTTCCCATGAAATATTAATTCCTATTTTGGCGGTTTGGTTCTTTAAAAAAATCAGCAGGATTTAACCACAGTCTGCAAACTTTTCAGCTGATGCAGCAATCTGACCAAAACCAAAGGAGGTCTGTTCACTCTGCGCTTCTGTGGAAAATGACTGACAAATGTCCGGCTCACCGGCAGCAAAAGAAATAAAAAGAACTCCGAGTGATGTGCTGATTACACTAGAAGTCAGTTTCTTACTCATTCTGTTAGCTCAGCAGAAGTAAAACTCATAAAGACTGAAAATTGTATGTTTTCCTTCACACCTCAGTCACCGTGAGGACTCCACTGTGCTTTTGTTCTTTACCTTTATATAGTGGTGACAGAAGATAAATAATTTGTTGTTGCAAAGTAGAAATATCCTTTTTTGTATTCGTGATATTTTAGTAGCCGATGAGCAGGTTGTCTGACAAGCCTTAAAACTCAGACTGCAAAATTTGATAAGCTGGCTTTAGTTAAATTAAAAATCTATTTGAGAAGGACAAGTTAGAGTTGATTAGGAGTTCTCTTTAATTTTAAGTTAAATGCACTTTATTTAAAAAAATAAGCTAAAAAACAATAAAATAATGTCTCCATAAATTGCTTTTTTGACAGTATTTAAAATATAAAAAGAAGCATTCCCCAATTCTGTGAATGGTATTCATGGTCATTGATGGTCAATTGTCAGTGATCAATGGTTGTTAATCAAGGGTCATAACATATTAATATGCATATTAATGATCAAGAAACTGACCTCTCAGCCCACCAGTGGTGCTACTTTCAGTGATTATGCAAGTTTATTGGTTGAGGAAACCTGCAGTCGGCTGAGACTGAAGAAGTCACTTGGATGTTTCTCCCACTGAAAACGCTGCGTCCAGATAGAACTCTGGTACCAGCCCTGAACGATCAGTGCAGCAACTCATTGATCTCTACTGAAGCGTCGGTCATGGTGGCCAAATTGTAACCACATGCACACCCGAAACCTCATCACATATCCACAACAATTAAAATCTAAACACAACAGAACTGAAGTAATAACCGCAACATGATTACAGATTAGAAGCTAAATGTTTACAGTCCCGTGAGTCTTTGTGCTTAGTATCAATGTTTGTATTTTTGGCCATGCACTTCTCAATATGTGACCAAAAATCCAAATAGCTTAGTATCAGAAAGTTACATTTGAAAAGCAGAAAATATATTGGGTTAAATGCACCAGTTTATGTTCAGTAAGAACATTGCTTGTATTTATAGTGTACAGGAAGTGAATACACCAGGGTGTTTCCAGGATTTTTTACAATAAGTTTGCACAACAGTTCCATTAAAGTGCTGCTTTAACGGATTGTCACATCCCTTTACGACATCAGTATGCCATCGCCTGATGGAGCGACTTTTCTTCTGCTTCTAGTGAGAAATGGAAAGATATATTTTTTAACGTTACTTATGTTCCCAGCTCACTTGTAACCCCTTTACCACCAACCTGGCATCTTGACACTAATGACACCAAAGCTGAACTGAGTTTGCACTAGTGCTGGGCTAGATCAATCTAACTATCAATAACATTGCTGGTATTGGTATCCGATTGATACTATTGCGACAGGATTGCTGCTTTATTTTTATCCTCCAAGTTCAGTATGTAGCTGAGCATAATGACCCTGAATTCTGTTAAATAACATGCACTATGAAAAATGTCTGAACCCTTTGCTCTTAGTCTTACGACTAAAATAAGACAAAAGTTGTAATTAAGCACCAGATAAAAGAATGAATGTATAAATCAAGCAGTTTACCTACTGGACATTTCACCTAAGTATATCTGTCTTATTTCTTTCTTTTTTTTCTGGCTTAAATTAAAAAAGCAGTGTGGAGGTGGTGCTGCTGCATTTCCTCTACAGCTCAGTGGAAATGCACACCAGAACTCATCTGCATCATCAAGGGAATCCAAACATATCTGGGCCCCGTGGGATTATATATGATTTTCCTCTCGGCTCCAGACCGCTTATGCTCAGATTGAGCCTCCACAGCTCTGGAGCTGTGAGGCGATTACAGATCATTTAGCGAGGGGGGGACTGCAGCCTTTGGGGCAGAGGAGGTTGCGTAATCGGCCTAAAAACTTTTATTATTTTGATTGATCTGGAGTTCATTCTCTTATGCCAAAAATAAATTCTAAAAATTCAGAATTTCTATATCGTATAGTATTCCTGGCTGTGTGACGGAGGCTTTCAAAAAGGATTTATACCTTTATGTCTGGATATAACAGAGTGGTTTGGAATTTTACAGAAGCTAAACAAAAAAACCCTCAAAAACGTCTGCACGACTTCTGAGAATTTTCAAATGCAGGTTGTTGGTTGACTTTGACTCATGACCTCAGTATTTCTAATCTCCTGGTACCCGTCAGCAGTAAATCACTGTCACCACGTAGTGAGATTTTGATGACTTGGTGGTTTAGTGGCACGAAAAACACTGCCGACTTTCAACTCATTCAACTTCCTCTATTTCCTGTCTGTCGACACTGCTCATCATGAAGATTGCCTGATTTCCTTTCTAGGGACACTTTAACAGGCCAAGGCCAGAGATACTGTACCAGGAAGTGCCTGATCAGCAAAGCTTGTTATCTGACCCATGCCTGCAATTCTGTGCCTTCCAGCAGGTCAAAAGACCAATAGGAAAGAATTTAGACCCGATATTCTGCTTTCATGTGAAGAAATAAAACTAAAAAGAGCCATCATGACTTAATAAATGATTTTGGGGGGTTAGCTGGGCAAGCACAGGAGAACTGTGCTATTACCTCTGCTGTTTGGAGCACCCTCTTTTAGTTATAATTTTAAGGTTTTACATATCAGGACATAAAGAAATCATTTGTTCCTTTCCAAGTCTTAGAGTTAGATAAAATCAGATAACAAAAACAGTGTTTCATTATTTATTTAACAGAAATTACCCAAAATAACCCGAATGAAGAAACAGTGTGTGAAAAACTAAGTAACCCTTAGTTTTACTTAATAGAATTAAGTAGAAGTAGTTTTAACAGTTTGCTGGTCTGGAGCATTCAGGTGTGTCTTAACCCAACACCAAGGAGGGAAGACATCATTCACTCTTCAGTGAGAAACATTATTCACAAGAAAGACATTCAAGACAGCCACCAGGAATAGATGTCCCAGAAAATTCACCTCAAGGTCAGACTGCGCAACACTCAGAGAAACTGCAAAAAGCTCAGGAGCTACATATCAGGTTCTACAGGCCTCAGTTAGCATGCTAAACATTAAAGTTAATGACAGCACAGTTAGAAAGAGACTGGACAAGTGTGGCTTGTTTGGAAGGCTTGGCAGGAGAAAGCCTCTACTCTTTAAAAAACAGAACATCACTCCCAAGCTTAGGTTTACAAAACTGCATCTGAATAAACCACAAAGACTTCTGGATCAGTGTCCTTTGTACACGAGACCAAAGCCCAGATGTTTGGACACCTGTCAGCATGGTGATGGAGGCGTGATGATTTGAGTTTATGAGTGTGGACCCTGAACTCCATTGTATACCAAAGTAGCGTCAAAAATTAGGTCATCTGTTAGTACAGAGAGTCCCGTGAAAGCTTTCTTTAAAGTTAGCTAACATTAATAGCTGAGCAACTAAAACCATGAACATTAAACATGAAATGTGGCAATTAAGACTTCTTGCTATACGGCAGATGCACTGCTAACATTACCATTATCTATTTACAGTTTGATTTGACTGAGTTCACAGTTTAGTTTGGTTTAGCATCCAAAACCAGCTGAGTCAACTCCCTTTTGTACATAATGGCACAGTGCCCCAATTTGACTTTGTGGCCAAAATTTAACAGAATAAAGGCTGTTTTATGCTCCCACCAAAGGGAGGGAGCCTGCAACAGTATTGGTTTGTCTGTCTGTCTGTTAGCAAGCTAGCATCCAGTTTTCAAGATATCATGTTAAAAAATTTTCCATGATGGTGGACAGCTCAAGCTGATTTAATTTTGGTGAAATTCAAAGTCAAGTTCACATCAAATCTGAAAATCAGCAAAAACTTTATATTACCCGCCATTATATGGATCGTCTTCAAACTTCACAACAATATACTAGGCCTTGAGGGACATGAGTACCTTGGTTGGCTAAGCATTTGAACTTGACCATCATTGTTAAAGTTCACCATGAGTACAACGGTGCCATAATAGGCTGACGTCATCATACTGTAATAAAAATATCATGAAACGATGCTCTCTGCATCGATGTGTTCTTGTTTAAGAAAACATGCAGATGGGAAGGTGAATTTTCTCAGATCAGACAAAGATGATAATAACATGTGTAGAACGTCTCAAATCTTGAGCTCAGAAGCAAAGAATCAAACCTTCTCACATCAGCTGCACATTTTAAACTTGCATGAACTTTTGAACCACTTTTAACCTGGTACATGGAGTGCTGCGAGGTGTTCTGGATATTGCTGAATACAGTTAAAGGCTTCTTTGACAAACAGCTGGAACAGAGAGGCATTAGGGAACACCAGAGGGATGTGACACTGATAGTAAATCCATTCTCGTTTCCTCTTATCTGTCATGCTTTTCTCATCTGCTTGGCTGTTTTCCGGCTGACTCGAGGCATTTTTCGTCTCAGGCCACTCTCCTTTTCTGTCTGATTCATGTTTGGATCGCTGAAGAGTC